CTATGATGTGCTGTGGAGAGTTTCTTTTCTGGTCCTATTTGGTGTTCTATAGTCTCCTTGTATTTGTATGGGCATGTCTTTCTTTAAGTTTGGGAAATTTTCTTCCACAATTCTGTTGAAAATCTGGTCCATGCCACTGTCTTGGGATTCTTCTCCTTCCTGTATGCGTATGATTCGCAAGTTTGGTCTTTTATTGTTTCACTTCCTTCTTCATTTTAGCCTGAGTATTCTTCAATATTTCTCTTTTCTGAATTCATTCAAAAGTTTATCCCTATCTTCTTTCAGTTCTTTCTTTCTTTGTGTGTTCTTTAAATTCATTGAATTCTTTTATTGTGTTTATAATTGTTCTTTTGAATTCCATGTCCTGTGTTATCTCTAGGGGGTTGTTGGTACTTGGTGGGGATATATTATTTAGGTTTTTCATGTTATTATTTTTTTCACTGTGACTTTGACATGTGGATTTCCTTTGTAGTTTCTGATTCTTGTGTGAGACTCAGGCCTTCCTTTGTTGAGTTTAGGTCTGCTTCTGTTCGTAAATTTTATGTGCCTTTGCAGTTTACTTGTTGGGCATGAAAAACTGGTTGCCTAGGCTTCAGGTTCTGTCTTTTGATTTTATATTGGAGGGGCCAGGTGGCTTTAGTCCAACTGCTCAAGAGTTCCAACAAAAGCCCAAGTTGGATGAGGATCAGATGCTCTCAGGCCTTCTCCTAAGGTCTGGATGCCTCTGCTTAGCAGGCACAGTACAATTTGGGAATTTTGCTAGGTAGAGGTAGGATTCAGGACTCTCAGGCAGTCAGGGAAGGAGGCTTGTCTCAGGAATCCCAGGTAGGTAGGAGCTGGGACAGCCAGGGATGAAGGCTGGTCTCAGGTATGCAAAGGTGGTGTGTGTGGTGGAACAGGCTCTGAGGGCTCCAGGGGACCAGAATGAGGAATTGGGTTGGTCTGGGTGCAAAGGTTCAGGAAGCAGTGGGGAGTCTGGGCCAAGAGGGTAGTCCAGAGGCCTGAGGTGCCAAGAGAAAAAATGGGCCAGTGCCCACGCTAGGAGGGGAGATGAGATGTGGGAGCTGGGAGGGTGGATGAGGTGGTGAGAGTTAAGATGCAGTGGGTGGGGTCAAACTTACTGAGGGAGGACAGTGGCCTCAGGAATCCCAGGCAGGTTGGGGGGTGGGACAGTCAGGGATGAAGCAGAATGGATTTTCTCATATTCCTGATTTCAGAATTATCTAGTGCTTTGTTTCTTTGATTTTAGAGAAAAACATTTTCTAAGAGAAAGTAGAAATCACAAATGAGGGACAGAAATGAGAACAGTGTCTTAACAGCACCAAACAGTTGACTGTTCCATGGGCTCTACTAATTACTCTAATTGCTCAATCAGAAGGAAGAATCAAAGAAATCAGCAAAAACAAAACTGAAAATTCAAAACGATGTGCATTTATGTGTGCATCAGTCTTAGTGTCAAGTCAGTGGGTACAGTTGGCATCGGACTTGATCTCTGCATGTGCACAGTTCAGGGAGGATTATGACAGTCACAACAACTTTCTTGTTCATGCCGGATTATCCTTAGGGCACTTGGTCCCTCTTCAGTCATCTGCTGTTAATGTCACGCCAAGGACAAAGCTGTTTACAGTGGCCCCGGGTTTTGAGTGTGGCCTTAGGGAACAGTCAAGGAGATCCTTGAGCAGATGCAACATCTGTAACATGCTCTACTGAGTCATTCAAACTCTTCATCTGGAAAGTTTCAGAGAATATGCTGTGCTGCTACCTGACAAATAGCACATAGAGCAGCTGGGGAAACCCAAGCAGGGGAGTTTTTGTTAAGGGCTGTATCACTGTGGGAGGAACATATATAGCTTGTACACAGTAATAAATTCCAATGTCGTCAGGCTCTACTCTGCTGATTTTGAGTGTGAAATCTGTCCCTGACCCACTGCCAGTGAACCTGTCTGGGACCCCAGAATCCCGGTTAGAAGCACCATAGATCAAGAGCTGTGGAGACTGGCCTGGCTTCTGTAGTAACCAACTCAAATAGGTGTATCCATTACTATGTAGGAGGCTCTGACTCGACTTGCAGGAGATGGAGACCGACTCTCCAGGAGCAACAGGCAAGGAGAGTGGAGTCTGTGTCATCACAATGTCTCCAGTGGATCCTAAAATGATAATAGAGAAAAGTGCCAGGTTTTGAAAAAATATAATGAAACTTTTTATATTGTCTTTATTATTTATCACCTGGCAGTCACATTTTATCCTGGTCTAATAACATTCAGTGTATATATAATAGATACTGGCAAAGCACAGCAGGACCTCTGGGATTCTCTACACTATCCCTGCCCATCAGTGTCAGAGTCCGTGTTCCTTCTGAAATCTTCCTCTCCCACACAGATGTAAACCTCCCAGGCCCACCCTGAAGGACAAGGTCTGCACACCTCACAGGAAAACATGAGCATCATAGATGTCTAGAGTGCACATTCCCACCTCCTTCTCCATCCTCATCTCTGTATGTCCTTACCAGGGATCCAGAGCATAACCAGCCCCAGGAGCTGAGCAGGGCACCTCATCCTGAGAAGATGACTGAGGAGTCCCACATCATAGATGTCTAGAGTGCACATTCCCACCTCCTTCTCCGTCCTCATCTCTGTCTGTCCTTACCAGGGATCCAGAGCATAACCAGCCCAGGAGCTGAGCAGGGCACCTCATCCTGAGAAGATGACTGAGGAGTCCCGGGCAGTCAAGGCAGGAATACAGCTCAGCTTTTATCTTCCACTTGCAGAGCTGAGAGTGATATGCAAATTCCCTGGTGGGTGTAACAGTGTGTGAAGAGCCAAGTGAACATAAGCACTGTTCTTGGGAGCAAAGTGACAAACATGTGCTCTTGTTTGGAGGAAGCCCAGGGCAGTCTGTAGGGCCTGCAACAGTGGGCAGAGGACTCCAGTGTGGAAGTCTTAGCCTATGGGTATGACATGGTACAAAAGGCTCTGCCACCCTTACAAAATGTAAAGACCCAGCAACACAGAAGTGGGCCCACAAGGCAATCAGTGAGGAGGAATCCCTGCTCTGTTTTGCCTCATCAAATTTAGTCTTTAGAAAAGAGCTTGGCTACCACCACAAGTAGCTAGGCTTAAATAATTCATCTAATAACAACATGGTTTGAATTATTTTTGTGTCGTATCTGTTGTTACCAGGATAACTGTTTATGGTTCATCAATAAGTGTTAGAAAAAAATCTCCATTCTTCTGACTTAATAAATTTCCATATGAAAATTCAAATACCACGTTGGTGCCATGGAAAATAGTCCCTTTCAAGTAGATAGTTCATGTTCTTTCCTAAGGCAAGAAAAATTATACTTCAGAGTGGGAATGTTAAATTCTCTTTCAAATTTTTGGCATTGTAGTAAATACCCTGTTATTCTTTAGCATTGTGTCTGTGCATAACAAAAATCAAAATTTTTCTCAAGAATTGCTTCTAGCCTGGGGGTAGAATGAAGAAGAAATTTTAATTACTTGTGTGGTATGATTTTGCTTTTCGTTTGCATGTAGATGTGATTTGGTGTATATATGTATATGTATGCATGTTCACATGTGTGGGTGAATAATTCTGTGTGAACCCTTCTCTCTCTCTCTCTGTATGGCCAACATGACACTGGATGTCTTCCTCAATTGCTCTCTACCTGCTGAGGCAGGCTCTCTCAGTTGAATGCAGAGCTTGCTGATTTGACCATTAGAGTAATCCAGCTTGCCCTGAGGATCTTCTGTCTCTGCCTCTAGAGTGCTAGGTTGTGGGCAGCTGCCATGCCCGCCTGAGTACATGAGCTCTGAGGATCCAAACTCTAGTCTTCAAGCTTCTATGGCAACAGCTTTACCACTAAGACTCCTCCCCAGGCCAACTTCTGGTATTTCTAAGTGGTGTCTTGAAAGATTATATCAATGTTTTTCTTCTTACGATTTTTTTTATTCTTGAATTTTCCTACATGCATATAAGGATAATGTAATATGTATAATGCAATGTATATAATATAATATCATTTCTCCTCCAACTTCTCCCTATTTTTCCAATACATCCCTATGCTAACTTTGTCTCCCCTTTTTTGTAATTTATACTCCCCACTAAGTCCAATTAGTGCTGCACGTATGTGCATGGGTATTGGGGCCATACACTGGAGCATGGGAACCTGCCAGTGACCGCACCCTCAGAAAAGATGATTCTCCCTCCCCATCAGCTGTCAATTGCCAGTAGCTCCTCACCAGAGGATGAGCCTGGAGGTCACCTCTATTGTCTGTGGATTGAATTTTCACTGGCTTCATCTTGTGCAGCTAACTACAATTGCTGTGAGTTCAAAAGGGAGACAGCCCAGTCATGTCCAGAAGACAGCCTCATCCAGTAGAGCCAGGCTTTGCCAGAGAGTTTTCTTTTTCTTTTTTGCTGTCTATGAGTACAGCAGACTTTATCATGGTTGTATATAGGGCACCCACAGCCATGGGTTCAGAATTCAAACTGAATTCTATGCTTTAGAATAGCAAGACCTGGATTCACTATTTAATGCTCACTAGAACCTGATATTTTAACTGAGGGTTTCAAGGGCCTTCAGGAAAATAGGTGTGTTTGCACTTTCCCATGCAGGTCCATGGAGAGGACATAGGATGACATCAAAATATCTTCCCAATAGCCTCTCCATCTTAGTTTTTGTAACAGAATCTGTCGCTAACCCAGAGCTTACTATTTCAGCTGGGATGGCTGCCAACAACCTCCAGAATCCAGCTGTCTCTGCCAACCCTTACTTTCATTACAGTATTATTGTGACATGAGGGTTTTGAATTTATTTTTAAGTAAGATGATGGCATATAAGAAACAGTTTTAATATATTTTCAAGTATTTTTGTAATAGCTTTAGAAATGTTCATTTGCAGAATAAAGTTATTGAATACACTGTCAGTGCATAGATAGTGCCACGGTTTGTTAACAATTGTCACTCAAAGTTCTAGCGTCTGAAGCTGTGTATGTCTACATTTTATATTTAGTCTCCCAAATTCAGGCATTTGGGGTCCATTTGCTTTTATTTCCCACAGCTCATCATCACGAACAGCTAAATAAAGATATTAGATCAATTAACTTCAAAAAATAATCACTGCTACATGCCCCCATATCTTTAACATTGAGCACAGTCCTCTCTCTGACCCAGACTCCTGCATCTCTGTCTCATTTCCCGGAATCTATTTCTGATTTTCCAATAGAGACCAAAAGTATCTTGGAGTGCAATGAACCTTAAACCACCTGGCATCTTTCCCTATGCTACATATGTTTTTATCTGTGGCCATATCAACCCAGATCAACAGGAGACAAAGTGGAGACAGCTAGGCCTTCAGCATGCACACCACAGCCCCCCCGGGCCCAAAGATCTTAGCGATGCGCGGCTGCAGGTGACTAAGGCTAGTGCTTCGGCTGCCTGTGATCCTCCCACTGCTTTCAGGAGCCTAAGCAACAAAGGAACTTGCTAAGCTAGCATCAGCCTGCCAAGAATCAGTTTCTATGTCATTTTCACAGGTAGATTTGGACCCTCCTTTCTGTTCCACATCATTTTCATCAGCCATTTCTGTGCCTGGCTGTGTTTGCTGAAGCTCTAAATACAGCTCTGTCTGTGCCCATGGCGACCACAGGGCCTGGAATGAGCTTCCCCAAGGGCATTCTCCGTGATTCTGATAGGAAGAGGAAAATCCGTGTTCCAGATTCCTCAGCTTGACTGGAGAACCCCAGAACAATCTCCTCCACTTTGACATGGGCATGATCTGCATCGGTGCTCAGGAGCATCTGGCTTGCTGAAGGTCTTTAATTAACACTTTCTTTACCCTGTCTGTCATACTTCCCTCCTTGGCCTTACCAAAATTACCAAATCTGCACAGGAGACCTTGTCATTGGACCCAACCTAAGGGAACAGGACAGTCTTTCTCTTATAAATCATCTCTGGTCTGAAATCTTGCCACTTGCCTTTGTAGATAGGTGGGGAGGCTTCTTTTCCAATGAACCTCAGATTGTATCACAATACTATCTAGTTTTTCAATGTTACAAAAATCAAAGAACTGTTCAACAAATAAATTTGCATCATGAAATCGACAGAAGAGGCACCAAATAAAAACATCTCAGTTTTAAGTACCGCAATAGGATTGTGTTTATGGGACTCACTAATGCAAAACAAAAGAAAGTATTTATTTTGCTTCAATGAGAGTTTTATTCAAACACAAGGACAGAACTCTATTTCGAAATTTAACACATTAAGGAGCATTGAAAGTCACGAGAAAAAAATCTATACTGGTTGAAATTTTTACAAATTTCAAATAGTAGTTTTCTGTTTGTTTGGTTTTGGTTTTTTTGAGACTGAGTCTCTTTATTGCCACACTTAGACGGGAACTCACTATGTAGACCAGGCTGACCACAATCTCACAAATATCTGCTTTCCACTTCCTCCCGAGTGCTAGAATTAAAACAGTACAAATAAGAAGGAAAAAGTATCACATTATAAAATCTTGCATTAAATTTGGGAGCATTTACATATAACAAGTTAATCTAAATTCAAATATTAAAAAGCACATTTTATTGTATATTATTGAAAATGCTGTTTTATAACTAACATGCTTAATATTTTTTCATATTCAAAAAGAACATTTTTTCCAGTGAAAGAAAAGTAAACACTTCCAAAGCAAAGAGGCAAAATATTGTTTGTCTCATATTCTCGTTGCTAGACAACATGGATTTTTCTCTCACAGCAAATTAAAAGCAGACAGAATAAAAACCTCTAGATAGAAACGAAGGAGAACTCAGAGCAACTCCCTGTTGCACTGGTTAACAACTGTTATAGACACAGTTAGAAGTCTGAACTCCTTAAGTATCTCATTGTCCCATCCTTTCCTTGTTTCTTTTTGCTTGTTTTGAGACAAGGTCTCCAGGCCCCAGCTGGCCTAGGTATTCAGACCAGGGTGTCCTCAGTTGCACAGAGATCCACTTGTCTCTGCCTCCCAGGTGCTGGGTTTAAAGGTGCGCATGACCCGGCTTTTTCCTATTTCTTTCTCTCAGGAGTTTGTGGACGTTATGGTCATGCTGTTCAATTTTACTATATTGATGATAAATGTTGTATTTCATCAGCTTTCCCATCCAATCTTGATATTCTTCCTTCTATGGATGATGCTCTACCCTGTTTTTTGAGTCAAAGACATTTCAGTTCCAATGTTTCTGCTTTATTCAAAAATCCTTATTTCTTTGATGAACTTTTCTTCCATGTTGCTGGCCTTCTCATTTATATTGCTGAAGTTCTCATCTACTGTACTGACTTTTTCCCTCTACGTTGCAAACTTTCCTTTCTAAGTCATAGACTAAATTTGTCTGCTACATTGCATTCTCTTTGATGCCATTGATCTTTTTCTTTGTAAAAATTAATAATTTTTATCTCACATTGTATTTATTTCAGTATCTGAATTTCGCAAATTGAGGAGTTAATGATTTATTGTTACAGCCATAGATTCATGCATCTCTCAAATCTCACCAGAGAGGTTTCCTTATGCAGCAGATGGTCA